ATTAAGAAATCTTGAGCTCAGTTAAAGTGCCTCAGTTTGCACATGCAAGGCCCTGGGCATGATCCCCAGCAAACACCTCCACACCACACATGTTATCATTCACCAGGGGTGGTGGTACACACCTAGAATCCCAGCACTCAGTGAACTGAGACAGCAGGAGGCGCTGATGAGTCCAAGACTAGCTTGAGCTCAAGAGACTGGAATACAGTGTATACAGTGTATGCAGTGAGTGCAGTGTAGGCAGTGAGTGCAGTGTAGGCAATGAGTGCAGTGTAGGTAGTGAGTGCAGTGTAGGCAGTGAGTGCAGTGTAGGCAGTGAGTGCAGTGTAGGCAGTGAGTGCAGTGTAGGCAGTGAGTGCAGTGTTTGCAGTGAGTACAGTGTAGGCTGTGAGTGCAGTGTGGGCAGTGAGTGCAGTGTGGGCAGTGAGTACAGTGTAGGCAGTGAGTGCAGTGTAGAGGTGAGTCTCACAAAATAGCTTTGTAGCTCTTCCTGAAGTCATAAATGTCTTACTGTACATTTATCAACCTGGTTTTTTCAGAAAGAGTCTCACTGTGTAGCCCAGGAACTTGCTATGTAGACCAGGATGATCTCAAACTCAAAAATCCACCCGCCTCTGCCTTACAAGTCCTGGGAGCAAAGGTGTGCACCCCCACACCTGGCAAAGCCTTTTCCCCAACAAACAATGTTTCCTGAGCACTGCCTTGTGCAAATTTTAATATGCCCAGACTTCACCTCTCTTCTATTTAACATATCCAGTTCTGAGGTTTCTCTTTGGAAATTTATTTTATGAGTGTGCTTAGTGCCCCCTTCACCTCAGGCTTTCTGTCACCAATTTCTAGTTTAATTCTACCACAGTCAAAAACATTTAATGCATGATCTTACTTGCTTAGGCTGGCAAAGTCTATTCATACAATAGGACTAGTGTCTCAATAACGCTGTGTCCCAGAGGACTTGCCCTGCTATGGCTGGGGAAAACAGGAGCCTCTGTCCTTTGGTGCTTGGTCACCACCAGGCTGTCCTCCATCACTGCTGAACCCCACCTGTCCACCCTAGTGCTCATGGGAGGGGCATGTCTTCAGCTCTTACTCTGAACTCGTCAGTCCTCCCCATCTGCAACTGACCCAGCTGGACCTGGCCACACAGCCTCTGTCTCCGTCCCAACATAGTACGTCTTCACTTACCTGCATCAGTCTGTGGGCGGGACGCTCACATGTTCTGCAGAGTCAGGTAGGTCCTGGGAAGTCTCAGCATCTTTGCAGCATTGTTGGCTTGGAAACACCAAGACATGGACAGTATACGCTGATACGTTTGGTTTCTTTCGCACTTTTACATGCTGCTCACTCTCTGAACCTGCTCCTTTAGGTTAAACATTTTTCGTATTGTATGTCTCGTAAAATTTCTGAATCATATTAGTCTTTTCAGAGTCCCTTCCCTTTAAGAGAGGGTCTTACTCTAGCCCAGGCTGGCCCTATACTTAAGATAACCCTGCCTCAGCCTCCTTTATGATGGGATTATGATGTGTCCCTGACACATTTTTCCCACTAGTGATCGCTTCCTCTGATCACTATGAAGAATTCACCATCATTCAGACTGTCAGGGCAGCATGTGGGTTTTCTTTGACTCCTTTTTAGTCTTTGAAGTTCTTGGCAGTTTGATGACGATGTGTCCTGATGTGGCCCCAAACCCAAATCCTGCCTCTGCCTCCCCCAGGATCACGGGTGCTCAGAACCTTTCTCTGGGTCTTTCCCACATATGGTTCGCTCAACTTCTTTCATCAGAGTGAGAGTTTCCAGATGTCATCCGATCCTTTAATGCCTTTGCTGTCATCTTTGTCACCTTCCATGTCACGGTCCCCTTGAAACTCTTTTTTTCAGTCTCTCTCTCTTGTTGTTATACTGGTGGGTGTATCTGTTCTCCATTCAACCACTGAATCTGTCCAGCTGTGCTCACTCAGTTCTGTTTCCACTTATAAAGGGTTCATGTTTGTACAGGCTCGCTCTGTAACCCTGACAGACCCAGGCTGGCTTCAAACCCACAGTAATGTTCCTGCCTCTGCCTCCACGTTCTGGGATTAAGATGTACAGCAACTTACTTGCCCATTCACTTGGTTCTTCATGACACGTTTCCTTGCTGACATTCAGTATAGGCTTTAAGAGTGTTTCGATCACTCACTAGAGCTACTCTGATGCCTGTACTGGATTTGCCGTCTTTCCTCTTGCACCTCCCAGCTCAGATACTGAGTGGCATGGCCTTGTCGCTCACTGTGGCTGTCATGGTTAACCCTGTGGAACTGTTTGAACCTGCTTTTTGTCAGTATGGTTCCAGTTTAGCATCAAGTCCTAGAGTCCTGGCTGCAATTTGGAAAGGCCCCGCCTGTGACCCAGAGGCCCTGACTGTGACCCAAGTGGGCAGCAGCTCTGTATACCAAGCCTAGGTTGTTTCAGTATTCTGAAGTGAATGTAGCCCTCAAAATAAGCTTAGAGCAACAGTACAAACTTGCCCTAAATGCAATTTTGTTACTACTTAAGAAATCCAGGTGCAGGGATATACTGTGGGAACAAGGCTGGCAGCTTCCAGCTTCATCCCGTGGGACACCCCCCCCCCAAACTCCCAGTATCTAAAGACCCCCACCAAAGGTCCATGGAGTTAAAAATGCCCAGATAGGACAAAAAAAAAACAAACAAAAAAAAACAAAAAACAAACAAACAAAAAAAAAAAACAAACCAAAAAAAAAACTGCTTCTTTTAGAGATTTTTTTTTTTAAATCTTCAGATACTTTCAATTACTTAAAAGCTCTTGTAAGTTCCCACAGATCTTCAGATTTTTATACAAAGAGTGATAATCACTGCATTCCCGGGAAGCCGTCCATGGTGCTGACTTGGGTGCTGGTCTCCATGAGAGGCTCTGCAGGGATTTGTCCCAGGAGCTGAACATCCATCTCATGATATGGGTCCTATGTCTGATGTATCTGTGTTGTGTACAAGCCTGGATAAAGAGGGATAAAGTTCATAAAGGCAAATGATGGGTGGACGGGCATACGGACCTTAATAAACCACTAACTCACCTCCTCTGTAGTAGTGGGTAGCAAAAAAATATGTAGTTCTGCCAATCTAAATCCCATTTTGAGGACTGGGAATATAACTCAGTTGGCAGAGTCACCACCTAACATGCATGAAGTCCTGGTTCTTACACACACCTGTTATCCCAGCAGTTCAGAGGTAGAGACAGGAAGTGCGGAAAGTTCAAGGTTATCCTTGCACATTTAGTTTTGAAGCCAGTCTGGGATACATGAAACCCTGTTTTGGGAGGAGGAGGAGGTGGAGGAGGAGGAAGAGGAGAAAGAGGAAGCATCATCCATCATCTGTGTTGGTGGATGTACTTGGGAGGTAAATGAACCTACATAGTGAGTTCCAGGACAGTCAGGGCAACACAGAAACACTCTGCCTCCCAACCCAAATCCACTTCAAATTCACATGCAAGTATTCTGAGATGACCCAGGGCATGTTTAAAGGGTTGCAGTTATATTGGACATAGAGTATATAGCAAAGACCTTACCTGGGCCAGGAACTGCAGAATTGGCCACGGCACAGCACTGGTTTAATCCAGAAAGTAGACATGCAGCTATCCTGCTTTTCTTGAGAAGCGAACTTACCAGGAAAGCAAGCCTCACCGTCCCCTGCGCTGGGCCTCTCCCGCGCCTCTCCAATAACGCTTCCGGCGGGCGTCCTGTCAAGGAGCCTCATTCCATTTGCCAAGTCTTTTAAAGATGTTTTTAACTTGAAAGCTCTGCAGAACTCTCTGTGTGTTCTGCTTTGGTTCCTGCTGTGTGGAGACCCCGTGCCTCCTGCGTGCCTCCTGCGTGCCGAGCCAACACCTATCACTGAGCTATGTTCCCAGCGACTCCTTTCTTGCCATTTAGTCTGGCTCTTGTGAGGTGAGCACAGACCTCTGAGTTAGCAGGCAACCCTCAGTGAGGCACAACTGCAGAGAGATAGCCCAGCAGCCAACACAGGCATGTGCTGCTGCACCGGGTAAGACGCCTACGGTTACCTGCAAAAGTGTATAAACATGTTAGGAATTCCATGGGGCCGAGAGAACGAGCGGATACATAACCAACCCAAGTGCTCAGACGGCCTCTAAACACACGGTTGAAGAATACATTCCTATGTCCTAAAGTCAAAGTAGCACAGAAAACAGAAACGCTTATGAAAAAACTGTTTTAATTAAGACCTTAAAATCAGATTTTTTTAAAAAAGGCTTGTATATCGTTTATTTTAAATATGTCTGGATTCTTAAACATTTTAATATGTTTCCAGCATAGAAGTTTATTCTAAATTAGCTCACTGCTCCTAGAATAAGAAAAAGTTAAAGATTAGTTTGTTAAATTTTTCATAGGTTCAAAAAGTAATCAACATCTTTTTAAAAGGAGAAAATTTGAACCCTAAACCATAGGGACTGGGGTGTGGGGAGTCACCACTAATTCATACTGACTTATTTGCAGTGTATGAACATTAAACGTCCTCCCAAGTCCTGATCATTTGTGCTCTGTGTAAAAAGAAAGTGGCAAACCTTTAATCCCAGCACTCAGGAGGCAAAGGCAGGCAGATCTCTGAGTTCGAGACTAGCCTGGTCTCCAGAGTGAGTTCCAGGACAGCCAGGGCTACACAGAGAAACCCTGTCTTGAGAAAAGGAAGAGAAAAAAAAAAAAAAACGAATTTGGTAATGACACCAGCATGCCTCTCAGCACACCTCAGCCTGCAATAGGATACACGTCTGTTTTCTGAGGAAGTCTGAAGGCCGGGGTTGGGGTCCTGTGTCTCTCCCCCCGCCCCCCCATCTTTCTGAGATTGTCAGGTGCAGTTTGATGGCGTAGAGCACATAGGCTTTCAAAGCATGGCTTTACAAAGAGTGATTCTCAGCAGCCTGGGCTACTGTGCCTGTCACCCTGATTACATGACACTTGGGGACTATGTAGTTAACGCAGTTATCACTAGCAAGGTTGTATTTGGAGAACATGTAGAATTTACTCTTTAATTAAATATACACCTCAGAGGAAGGGCTCTGTACACAAGGGACTGTACAAAACTAGGTAAATATTTTAAAAGGCTTTTTTTTAAAAAAACGCTTGTGATTCTTTAGTGTGCATTTTCAAAGCTTAATACAGTCTTCAGAGGACATCGTGTGACAATCTCACATGGAATGAAATCAATCAGCCTTCTAGAAATTATCATACTCAAAAAAAAAAAAAAACAAAGTAAAAATATCATGGAAATGTTCAGCTACACGCCCGACACTGGGTTTTACCCAGCAAGCTCAGATGCTGAGTGGGTGCAGGCAAAAGATCTCCTTGTCTCTCAGGAAGAACACGGTGCTCCTCCTTCTGGGAGTCTCTTCTGCAGGGTGGCGAAGGCACCCATTTTACGGGAAAACACATTCTTTAAAACCTTTTTCTTTTTTAAACCCTGACAGTGGTTCCTTATTAAAGGAAGAACGTTACAGTCAGGCCAGCACCTGGCCTATTCTCCCACAGTATGGCAGCAAAGATCACTGGGCCAGAGATCATGCAATCAGGTTTCCAGCCCAGACTATGACCCCTGTGCATGACGCCGTCATTAAGTTCTGTAGAAGGGAAAGCATGACGCAGGCAAGGACACAGTAACGGTGTCTGCTGGTCCCATCCCCACAGGCCAAACAAACCCAGTTAAATGTCACTGCAGATTACAAGTTCTCAATATCTTCATCCGCGCGTTCTCTCTCTCTCTCTCTCTCTCTCTCTCTCTCAGAAGAGGGGAGTGGCGGTCAGACTTAAGCAGCTGCCTGCAGTTAAAGGAATGCAACTCAAAAGAAGTATTGTCATTTCTCTAAACATGCTCCGCATGTCGCTCTCTGGAATGTCCCAGAACTATTAAATCACGTATTAAATAAAAGTCTAAGGGTGACTTAGGGATAAAAGGTGACCCTCGCTCTGGCCAGAAAATTCTTAAATATCACAGTCCACATGAAGACGAGGCGAAAGGAAATCTGTCGAGTGTAATCGTTCTGCAGCTGCCGAAGCTCTGGCTCGTCAGGAAAAGCCTGGATCTCCATGTCTGCTTTCCTGGGTGTCAGCTCCATGCATGGCGGACTGGACAGGATGCCCTGCCAGCCATGGACTGTGGAGCTGATGAGAAAGGACAGCTCTGACTGGATGACCGGAGGAGTGGGTGGGAAGCGCCTAGAGCCGGTTAAAGGCACTCGGTGTGGGTATCTCCAAAGATTAAAATCTTTAAAATAAAACTCTTACAAGAATATCAAGACTTGGGACTTGTCTTCATAAACAAGCCAGTATATATGGCTTCCATGGTCTGTCCCGCTACTAAGGCATGTGACCAACCGTCATGAAAGCAAAACCATCTCTTGGCATTTCCTAAGGGGAGCCATGTAGGACCAGTTTCTTCCACCCGTGTGTGGTCTCATTTGCCAGTTTTTGTTTTCCTCTTCTTGCATGAATGCTCGAGAGGATGCCCCGGGATCTACGCCCTCGCTGAGTAGCACCGCATGTACTCAGTCAGCCAGGGGTTCTCTGCAGACGACGGCTTTACCCTCTGGTTCTTTTCCACATCCACCGAGTGAGCGCGCTGTCTCTGGGCAGCCAGCTTCCTCTTCTCCACCTGTCTTCTATTCTTGGCTCGAAGGGCTGACTCATGAATCTACAGAAAGGTCAAAAATAAAGGTAGTAGCTAAGTGGGTTAGAGCTGATTTTTAAGAATATCTAAAATTAGTCTGGGGATACCGCTTGGCGCAGCCTAGCACACATGAAGTCCTGGGTTTTATCCCCAGGCATGGTGGTTCATACCTGTAATCCCAGCACTTGGGAGGTAGAACCCAGAGGATCATAAGTTCAAAGCCAGCCTTGGCTACATAGAAAGCTCAGTGGCCAGCCTGAGATACATGAGACCCTGTCTTATGTTACTAGTCTAATTTCCTGAAGTAAGGAGTCAAGCCCTATGGCATCAACGCTTGCTTCACAGAGTCAACTATCCAGTCACCACCCCGTTACCAAGGACAGCAGAGCTGAGAAACAGAATTTTAGGGCTGGAGAGATGGCGTCTGCGAGAACAACTACTGCTCTTGCAAAGGACCTGAGTTCAATTCCCAGAACCCAAGCTGGGCAGCTCACAACTGTCTGTAACTCTAGCCCCAAGGGGATCTGATGCCTCTGACCTCTAAGGGCACTAGCAATCACATATGCAGACCCATACATACACATGACTAAAAATAAAAAGTACTTTTTAAAAGGTAAAAGTTTAGACTGAAATGGTAACCAGCTAACTTGCATCCTGTCCAGGACTAGCTTGGGAAAACTGCTGCTTTTTAGGGTTTTTTGGTTTTGTTGTTGTTGTTTTTTTTTAATTGAGATAAGATCTTGCATGTAGCTCTGTCTGGCCCAGAACTCACTATATAGATTAGTCTGGCTATAAACTTCAGGGATCCTTCTGCTCTGCCTCCAAAGCACAGGGATGATATGGGTACCACCACACCAAGCTCTAGAAAACTGTGGGCACTCCACAGCAGGTCAAAGAGTCAGTCATCTAGCATGCTTTAAAATACTGCACTAAAACGTGGAGGACAGCCAGATACGGGCACACAAGCCTGTAAAATCCCCGAGTGTGGCAAGAGGATCAGGAGTTCAAGGTCGTCCCCAGCTACAGACTGTTTCAGGCCAGTTTGGGCTACATGAGATCCTGTCGTGTGTGTGGTGTGTATGTGTGTGTGTGTACACACATATATCTGTCAGGGGAGTTTATTAGTTAAATTAGTCCCAGGGACTTGTGGGAATTGTGTTAACAGTTCCCTTTTCTCAGATTCCACCTCAGATAAACAGCATCTGCCACCTACACACGGCTCTGGGAACTCGCCTGGCATCACAGGGAAACCCAGTCTGCAGTTCCTCTTCCTGCCTGTTCTTAAGGCGTCCCTGACCTTCAGCTGGTGCTAACACGGCAATTGTTTCATGGCTACAACTGTGGGTCCTCATGTCTAAAATGTCTCAGGCCTTGATGGAATGACAAACCAAGGCTGAGCCAGATGACTCGAGCTCATGGGAAGAAAACACTATGGCAGACAAACAGGAAACCATCAAGGTGAATCTCATCAGAAGGGAAAACAGGTCCCTAGTAGATGTCAAGTAGTCAGACTATCCGAGGAGAAAGCCCTGGTTAAGGACACCAGGGCTGGTGAGATGGCTCAGTGGTTAAGAGCACTGTCTGCTCTTCCAGAGGTCATGAGTTCAAATCCCAGCAACCACATGGTGGCTCACAACCATCTGCAATGATATCTGATGCCCTCTTGTGGGGTATCTGAAGACAGCTACAGTGTACTTACATTAAATAAATAAATAAATAAATAAATAAATAAATAAATAAATAAATAAAAAAAGGACACCAGGTTACCAAAGCTGAGGGAATCTGATGCCCTCCAGGGGATAACTCCAGCTCCCATTGTGCTCCCACGATCCCTGTGGCCCAGACCACAGAACTCACACCACAATGACATCTGCCTCTTCCCGTCATCAGACCTTAGCCCTGGCTGTAGCCCCAGTCAACCAAAGTCTACTCCATCTTTCTAGGACCAGAGTCCCCTTCTTTTGGCTTTCATGGACCCCCACATGACCCAAGGACCTCCCATGGCCCCAAGCACCATAGCCATAGGAGAAATGCCCCAAGGCAGCTCAGGGCTAGACCGGCTCGGTTCGAGGCACACCTCGTGCACAGAGGCCGATGCGCAGACATTGTGTGTCTTCTGGCTCCCCAAGTCCATCTGTTTCTCTCCCCAGCCATAAAGAGCAAACGGGTGCTTGTTCTCCTTGATTTTGCTCGTCGATCTTTGGGGGCTTCTGGTGGCTTTTTTACTTCCTCTGGCACATAAGGCACTAGGCTGTTGTCGAGGTCCGGGGCCGCTGGGTGCCCCGTCAGTCTCTTTTGTCCTGTGTTCTTCAGGTTTCTTCTCTTCTATGTCCTTTTTCGGTGGTGCTTTTGAAAAAAAAAAAAAAAAAAGAGAGAGACGAGATGGGAAAACTTTAAATCAAGTTCACATGTAACAACTTAATCTAAGTTGAAAAAAAATAATAAAAACTTCATCAAGTCAGTTACATGTTTAACTTAACTCTACAGGTTTATTTAAAGCAAGCTATGGAAACAAGTTACTAACACTAAACCAAAATAATTCCAAAGCAACCTTGATGGCCATCCACAGGAGTCATGATTACAACCCAAATGAGTGTGTATGTAACAGGAGCTCCCTCCACAGGTCCCTGCATGTGTCTCTATCAGATGCTCCCTTTGGGGACAGACTAGGCTGTCCTCACTGAGCAGCTGCTGAAGACTGGTTTCTAAGTCACTCCCTGGAGTGTCACCGTTCTGCTTCCTTTTTGATGTACACTGATTGAAGAAAACCATATCTGCACCTATAAGGAGATGGTTGTCTAACTGAATCCAAAGGCTCCTGTCACACAACAGGATGTGGTCACCTCGGCCACTCGAGTGTACCCTGTACAGCATCCCCAGAGACACTGAAACAGGAGTGACCTCATGAGCCAGGGCCTCAGTGTTGTGCTTGGGTATGTGATATCCTCAAAGGCTCATGAGTTTGAACACCTGACCCCCGCTTGTGGGGAGGTGCTGTAGGAAGTTGAGGAATCTCTGGGAGGTGGAGTCTTGATGGAAGAGGTGAGTCACCACAGAATGAGTATTATGGGTTGTAGCCTAATCCCAGTTTTGACCCGATTTCTGTTTCCTGAACCATCAAGATATAAGCAAGCAGCCCCACCCTAGCCGGCATGAACTCTGCTGTACCTTCCCCATCAGGATGGAACATACCCTCTCCAAGGACAGAGACCCTTCCTCCCTTCAGATGTCTCAGTGACGAGAGAGGAAACTGACGTATAAGGTGTGAGAGGGTGATGATGGGTGATGTCGGCACACCTGAGGAGTGGAGGGTCTTGAGGGGAGGGGATATATGTGGTTGCCCAACCTGAGGTAAACATCAGGTATTTTAAGACCATTCCAGAATGTCTCAATTTCCCTTACCTACCTTCTGACATTTTAGTACCACCGTCCTTTATAAGACATGATTTTTGCATAAATCCTTCCTGAGCCTGTTTCCTTCCCACCCACACACATACTGGAACATGAGCTCCGCGTGAGTCACACGCTGCTCAAGCATTACGTACATACCCTCCTCCGTCAGAGCTCGGTTCTTCTTGACAACTACACAGACTGCTGGAACAAAAAGGCTGGGTCCCCTCAGAGAACAGCTCCTTAGACCCTCAGCCCTGGGCTGGGCATGTTTCCTATGCCTTTACAGGAGAGTGTTTCCTGTGTGGGCCATCCAGACTGCAGGCCTGAGTGTGGGACACCTCCACTTCTGCCTCAGCCTGGCCTGAGCTCTAACAAACCATCCATTGCATGACATGACATCTCAAGAATCACATGACATCTCAAGAATCACATGGCATCTCAAGAATCACATGGCATCTCAAGAATCACATGACATCTCAAGTATTGCATGACACAAGTCACACCTGGGGTCTAACCTACACCCTAGGGCCAGCCTGCAGTCCCAAGGGGAGCTTCCCAGGGTGAAGGAGCACCAGGTTCCACTCACTGTGTCCACTCACCGCCTGAGCACTGCGTTTCTGCACGCTGCCTCTTACCCTTCCTCGACTTAGTGTAGGATGAGGAAGAGAGGGAATCTCAAGGCAAAGAGAAAATGTAGCCTGGGGCAGGACCTAGGAAGTTGACTATGGAGACTAAGGAAGTGTGTCAACCTGAGTTTTGAATCTCTTCACCTCCTCCAGATCTCCCAGGAAAGCATGCCCAGAGAGGACAATAATGTCCTTCTGTGAGGGAAAAGCGTGGACTGGAGGTGGTGGTGATCATACCTTTGAAACCATTATGGGAAATGTTAAGTTTAGAAATACTGTGGCCCTGTCTATAGTTTAAGATGGGTTGGTTAAAAGAATAGAGCCAAATGCCTGGCAGGAAAGCTGACAGCAGACCAGGGTAAACAGACAGACACACTGGCACCATGCCGGCACTGGGTGGGGTGGGGTGGGAGGTGGGAGAACCTGATTGGTCGCCATGGATGTTCTAAGCAGATGGTCCTCCAATCTATGGACCCGAGGTATCCCAGGCATGAAGGAAGGATGAAGCGGCCAGCAGGCTGCTGGTGGACACCTACGGGCACCTTGAGAGAGAAGACGGAGCTGAGACCAGGGTTAGAGTGCATAGGTCTGCCCTGGAGAAGAAATGTGGAGCAGGAAGCCAAAAGGGCACAGTTGGATGCCCGGGACACTTATTTAATGATCCAGCGAGAAAGAACCCAAGAGCAGGACAAAGGAAGGCTGTCTAGAAAAGTAAAAAGAGGGCAGAAGAAAATCTGAGGACATGCCACATTCCACAGAAAAGTCAGTGTGCTGGGACTGAAGTCCTGCAGCTTACCAGTGAGGCTCTGGTATGGGAAGGGACACCTCGGGTCAGGGGTCAAGCGAAGTGCAGAGTCACCTCAACCCTTTTCATCATAGGGCCCAAAACAACTCAGTGAAGTACAAAAGCCCACAGGACCTACACAGAACCCCAGAGTCCAAATGATCCCTACAAATAATTTTCACACAGCATTACCACAGAGTGTGCCACAGAGTGTCACAGAAGACAGCCCAGCGTCCAGGAAGAGAAAACAATGCAGAGACAGCCAGCTGGTGCAATAGACTTAAGAACTTAAAATTATCACCTACAGACTGTGAAATAATGGTGCTCACATTCTGTGCTTAAGGAAAAAAAAACCACAAACGATGCTTGAAAATTATTCCCAGCAGGAGACAAAAGACGGACAGAAACAGAAGAAGCGAGATAAAACGTATCGCTGTAATCTTAATATTTATAAAACTCTCAAAATCGTGCCTGGCACATGGTAATTAGATTTAAGTATATGCTTTTAAGGTCCTCTTTGAAAGAATGATGTTCAAAATAAGGACATTTTCAGGCAAACAAAAACAGTATTTCCCACAAGATACAAGGGAGGATTACAACGCTTGTCTCACCAACCGAGAAAACAGTCAAATTCAAGTACACTCAGGCTTTAGGAAGGAGCTGCCCAATACAACAGCCTGTAGCCACATGTGGCTATTAAAAATAAACTCCAGTAAGTTAAAAATAAGTAAAATGAGATGACTGTGCTTCTCTGTTTGACATGTCATGGGTCAACCACTCAGTAATGTCACGGTAGATGCTATAGAAAATGCAGCTGCTACCACAGATATGTGTTGAAGAGTCTGGTTGTAACAGGGGAAACAGAATGAAGTCAGGTAGGCAGCTGGAACATTCCCGTCAAGCAGATGCGGAGCATATTTGAGCTTTCATAGCCACGGCCATAAGAGGGACTCTTCCCACATTTATAGCACTGGACTTACATAAACTGAAATTACACAGAACATATTCTCACAACCATTAGGGAAATGAAGCTACAGACATAGAAATAACTTTCAAATCTCTTTCATTTTTGAGCCCAATGTGGTAGCTAACATTCATAACCCTAGCACTAGGCAGGCTGAGACAGGAGGATTACTATAAATATGACTGAGTTTTAGCCCAGCTTGTATATGATAACCACATATACACATGTATATGCTTTTAAAAATCCTATTTGAACAAATATTTATAGAGTGAAGCCCAGACTCAAAACAGCAACAAGGATTTCCATTTTGGAAATTTAAAAACACACACAGGGATGGATGAAATGGCTCAGGGGGTAATGGGAACTTGCTGTGTGAGCCTGAGGCCCTGAGTTCAAATCCAGCACACCCGTGAGCAGTCAGCAACACTGTGCACCCATAACTCCAGCACTGGGGCTTGGGGTGGTAAAGAAAAGGATCTCTGTAGCCCACTGGGGCCCAGCCTAGCTCCAAGTTCAGGGGGATGCAGTTGGAAAAAACACACCAAGTACTTAGTGCCAGAAACTGTGCATTTCAAGGTTAAAACGGTAAACTTTGTGTTCTATATGTTTTACCATAAGTTATTATAATCACACTTGGGAGATGGAAGCAACTGAGTTCAAAGTCACCTCAACAGGATACTAACTCTGAGGCCAACCTGGGCTAAGAGGTATCAGGTGCCTGTAATCCCGGGAAGGTTGATGAAGGACCTTTAGTTCAAGGTCAGCTTGGGCTATGTAGTAAGAACCTCTCTTAAAAACAAAATCAGTATATGGGAGCTTTAACCCCAGCACTTAGAGGCAGAGGCGGGGGATCTCTGAGAGTTCAAGGCCAGCCTCGTCTACAGAGTGAGTTCTAGGACAGTCAGGTGTATGTAGAGTCCTTATCTCAAAAAACCCAAGAGGAAAAAAAAAAAGCAAACAACAAAAACAGCCAGGCATGGCGGTGCAAGCCTTTAATCCAAGCACTCACGAGACAGAGGCAGAAAGGATCTCCATGAGTTTGAGGCCAGCCTGACCACATAGTGAGTTCCAACCTATCCAGAGGTACATACTGAGACTCCCAAGAAAATAATCCATATAGATAAAAGTTCTTTTGGCACAAAAACAACAACAACAAAGACCCCTGATAGTTACAAACTAAAAGTTAGTTTGGTAAAAAAAACAAAAAACAAAAAAACAAACAAAAAAAAAAACAAATTAAACAGATTCGCAAACTACTCAAAAGCCTAATCAAGAAAGAAAGAAATGGGCCAGACATTGTGGTGTCTGTCTTTAATCCTAGCACTCCAGAGGCAGGTGGATCTCTGTGACCTCCAGGCTAACCTGCTCTACACAGAGTTCTAGCTAGGGACACATAGTGAAGCCCTGTTTCTAGATGAATGAATGAATGAATGAATGAATGAATGAATGAATGAATGAAGCAGTGCTGGAGAAATGGCTCAGCAGTTAAGAGCACTTTCTGCTCTTGAAGAGGACTTGTCTTCACCACCAAATCAGGGAGCTCACGACTATCTGTGATTCCATCTCCATGAAATCTATG